GGGGGAGGGGAGGTGGAGGTTGTATTCAACCTGGGAAAACCTTTGGTTGTTTATTTCCCGCTTCAGGCTCTCTTTACCTCCTCTTCCATACTTATCGGGGAAAGGTAAATTTGGGAGAATCACATTTCGGAAATCCCCCTGCGCAAAGAATTTAGTATTTTTGAAAGGTAATTGGAGATGTTCACCTCTCCCTGGGGGAAAAAACGAGTATTTCTGAAGGTAACTGAAGATGTTCACCTCTCCTTGGCTCTACCGAACGGCAAAATTTTAGGAGATGGCAAAACTATAGGTAGGAGGTGAGAGAGGGTCTTATCGGATGAGGAGATTTTGGAGTAATGTATTTTGGAAAATCCTCCCCAGCGTGACCCGATTACGAGACCTCCAAAACTGGCTCTTGGTTTCGAAGAACTGGTAAGCATTCCGGAAAGGCTTCACGTTCTACAACCCTAGCGCTAAATTTACACGATCCTATTCGCCCCTGTAGGGTTTTCTTTATTTGCCTTCATGTGCATTGTTAGTCCTGAGTCGCAGTAAGCGCGCCGAGAGAGGCGTTGCAAGCGAGGTATCGCCCACAGCTTTTGCACCAGGACCAAATCAATTCAACGTGGCAGTACTGCGTTGTATCAGGTCGCCTCTGTTGATTTGCGCTCGCCATAACTTGGACTAGCGATATACACCCCTGGCTTTCCACAATAGATAACCCTAATTGTTCCCAAACAACGCGTCCCTTGTGGATTTAATGACTTTTAGCTACTGCAGTAATTTTCATGTATGACAACGATTTGTCACAGCATTTGTTTCCCTTCTTCATCGCGACATGTCAACATAGCTCTCTGTGACGCGGATTCGAGGATAAAATGCATTAAGAAAATTCCCATCAGCGCTAATTCACTATCGGAAAAGCAAAAAACGTAGTAACTCGACGGCGGAAGTGCCACATTCTTGAAATGTGTTCCAGTAACTCGCTGTTTGGCTAATGGCTTCAAAACGGCTGATGCTCTTAGCCAGCAAGTGAGGCGAGCGCTGAGTGACGCAACTGGAAAACTGCTAAGAAAAACATCATTCAATTATTAGAGAGATGCTGTTCATTAACTTTCTGTGTTGTTTTTCATGAAATAGAAAACGCTCTCGGTCCTGTTAGAAAAGTGCTCCCTAAAATTTCACCTGTGAGCAGGGTACAGCATCGCGATGTATGAATTGGTGGTTTAGGTACGCCCACCCCCCCCTTCGAGAGAGGATGTCAAAGCGACCCCCCTCCTTTCCCACCACCTATCTACCAATTTCCCACAATTCCCAGTTCTTTACCCAATAATTTTACTGTCGAGTGTCAAGCGGAGAGGAGTATAAAGTACACATGAATACATATGAAAAGGAGAAATTACGAAAAGTCGACAACTGGGAAAAATGTTTTCCTACCACGGTGAATTTCTCTCGGAGGCACATACGATCCCTCCCTCTCTCTCCCAAACGGCCAAATACAACCCCCTACCCACCGGAAAAGTACGACCCCTATGTGTTTCACACAGTGATGCTGTACCCTGCCTGTGAGAGTTGAGTGATGCCAAGGTGTACAGAGAAATCCATGATACACCGAGCGCTCAACCTCCGGTTCTTTGACTCCCATGTATAACCTGCTCTTATCGACCCGAATAGGGTTTTATGACAAGCTCACTTTGTGCATTTAACATTTCAGGCCTGGTAAGTGGCTCAGATATCCGCAAGGCCAGAGAACCCTATGTCGCGAACTCTTCGTCACCTTTTCGCTAAGCTAGTCGCTGTCCCTTATACGCCGAAATTCCTCCGTTTTGCAGCAAGCTCGAGCAACCATCTAACCCAAAGTAAGGTAATAAAAAGTAAAAATGTAGAAGTATCGTATCCCACATCTCCTTCGCGGGTTCAGTGTGTTCGCCACAATATTTATCCCTCACGGGCTATTGCTCATCGCTGAAGTGAACATAATGTCATAAAGATCATTATTCACAACTTTTCTTCAGAAGGTGGAGCCACTGTGCGATCGCCAAAAGGGTGCAAAAGGGTTTGAATCAGCGTATTTCATCCTTAATCCCATCAGAGACTTATGCTGTCGCTGGGAGAGGGGAGCCGTAGTCAGGGCATGGCGGATATTGTAATCGATTGGTGAATTTGGAGGGTTGTATCCCCTTTGAGGGAAATGTATCAGTTGTGATTTATGTAGGTTTTTCCTTTTTGACCTAGCTATATATCCCTCCCATCCCTGCTTGAAACTGAGAAAAGTGCTGGGTCTTGGGAGAATATTGGGAGAGTTCAGTAGGATTGTAGACAGGATGGGGAAAAGAGATGAAACTTCTAATAATAGTAGTACTTGCAAAATTCTCCCCGCAACGGCAGGACGAACCTCAGTCGTGAAAGGGTCCGCAAACAATTTTTGCATTGTTGTTTTTCCTGGGCGCTGTTTATCGACGGGGGGGGCATTCTGCTTTTCATAGATTTGCCAACCCATCTAGGTACCCTTTTTTCGAGTTGACACGTTTTAGGATGGTGGCTAGACGATCTTGCTCCAGCTTCACAAGCGTTCACAAGTTTTACCAGAGTGAGATTTGTAAACCGGAACCAGGGAAGCAATTATAATACAAAATGCCCCCCCCCGTCGATAAACAGCGCCGTTATCCTGTTCTAGGCACGTTGTATATGTAGTACCTAGGCGCGGCAAAACTACTATTTCTGATTGGTTTGATAATTAATCGAAAGAGTCTTCCCTCTCCCCCACCCCTCTCCTCCTCTTCCGCTCACACCACGTTCGGCTGAGCCAAAAAGTTCCTGTGAAAATTTGAAAAATTAACACTATACATGATACTCTTCTAAAGTTTGGTAAAATTTGAATGTAGGAAGCGAATGTATTGGGGGTCGCAGGTTGCGAAAGGATTTGTAGCGAGACCCTCCCTGCTTGTCGGAGCAGTGGCCCTACTACTTCACGAATCCCGACTTTGTACCCTGGCTAGAACAACTGTCTAATGGATGTTGGCGTTAATAAATCTCTTTTTGGGATGCGCCACGCATTCAACTTCCACTTGAATTCATGCTTGATTTCGACTGCGATTTAGCCTATACACTTACCACAGGGGCCAAATTAGCGCTTTATCCTCCCAGCCGCCGATGAGTGTTGTTTTTCACTAATAGTCCAGTCGCAAAATTTTACAAATGTGGACCCTGTTTAGAACAGTATGGTACCAACCGTCCAGGTACTGATGCTGTGGAAGGCTTAGTAACAATGGGCCAGTACCCATCCGGGACTTGACCCTTTGCTCGCGTGGGTGGAAGGCCTCAATATGGCACCGATACGTTTGAAAGCCCAGTGAGCGTCCAAATTTTCTTCGAACTCGATCATTCGTGAAAAACGTTGTTCAGAACTCGATCCTCATGTGAAAAGACACGCAGATCCAGTGGAACTTCACTTTTCGACGGGTTTCAACCCTCAAATCCTCAGAGGCGTTCTGCGAAACCAGCAGAAATCAGCTATAACAAGAATCACAATATTATCAGCTGCAGTAGTCAATCATATTCCCGTGGGAGGTTATATTTTCGATATGTGCGGGCCCCTTCTCGTTGGTGATTTATGACATCTCGATCCT